ACCCTGAACCCTAAACCCTAAACCCCTGGGCCCTAAGCCCTAAGCCCTAAACCCTAAACCCTGAACCCTAAACCCCCAGTGCCAAAGCCTGTCTTGCAGGGACTCCCACCCTGTCGATCCACAGCCGGGGACCTCGAGCGATCACTTTGGGGGCAAAGGTTCACTTAACATTTTTTCGGACTGCTTAAATGCTATATCTGCCATCAAGGCCCTTCTGCCGGTTGGCATTCTCTTGTGCTGCTTTGGAGCCTTGTAGGCAAGTTCCGGGTCGTCTTAACTAGCAATCACGTGAGTTCTCACCCACGGTAGCCTGGGCTTCTACCAGTAGCCCTTCAAGAGCACCGGCTCGGCATGCAAATCTAGACCTCGGGTTTCGGATCTGGCTTCCACCTCACGGATGCCATCTCAAGTTTGGGGTGTGGAGCTTTGGGGATTCAGGGCTTCTGTTACTTGGCTTCGTTGCTCCCCACGCCATGGAGGGAAGTCGCCGGATGTGTAACGTGGAAGTGCAAGGTTGCTGAAGAAGAAGTCTTGTTTTCTAGGAGCCGCTGCATGGATTGGCGATTGCCGTCTTATGGCTGTGGTACTCGGGACTTAGGAGTTTGATCTAGTGCAGAGGCTGTTATGGGGTGGGGGGCGGGTTCGGGCAGGGCATGCTGACAATGATAAGCACGTCTGGATGCTAAGCCCTAAACCCTACACCCCTAAACCCTAAGCCCTTAAACCCTAAACCCCTAAACCCTTAAACCCTAAACCCCTAAACCCTAAACCCTAAGATGGCTCAACGGGGGGCCCTGAACTCCGAAGCATTCTTGGGATCGTTGCAGCATCGAGGCTCCAGTGCGAGATTTCTCCCTATGGGGGAGATGGCCAGTGGTACCGTGGTGTTGGAGGCGGTGGTTTTCGCGACTAGAGCCGCTGACGCAGGGCCGAGGTCTTTGTGTTACCAGCACTAGCCGAATCGACTTCGCGAGTTCCACTGCTGCGAGTGCTGCCAGTCTTATGTATTGTGCCAGAAGTGGATATCATGGCCATGATATTCACCATTATCTGTCGTTTGTGATTAAATTGTCATGATGGTGTTGCTGCAGCTGATGATGATGGTGGTGGTGATGACGATGGCCAGAGCAGCAATGCCGTTATCCTCATTGCGGCCAGTATTGCTTGTCTTGTGCGTCTGCAACGCTCTCAAAAGACACGGACGAACTAGCTAGACAGGTTTACTTCAGGGTGGCAATATGAGTAGTGTTAGCACCTTGCGGTCCCTAGTGCAACTCTAGCACAATATCCCGTAACTATTATCTGATGAAGTATGAAGGCCCCCATGTCATGCAGGGCCCGGGGTCCGGCTGCCAAATTTTGGTCATGGCCTCCCTGCTTGGGTTCTATGTTCGACTTCCTTGGACTGCTGCTTCTGCATGTGAAAGGTATGTGCCCACCCACTCCTCTGGGGCAGGGGAACACATGATGTGGCATCTTTTCCACCCCCTAAAACTAAAATCCGTCTCTGACAGGTGTCGAGGTCATCGCCACTACCCGACCCATCCTCGTCCATTCCTTCGACAAGGGGTTGACGAGTCCGGAGATCCCACGACGAATTTGGAGCTGCAAATGATCCAGTGCATCCCGCAACCGATGCCCGCAGGTCAAAAAAAGCTCAAACCCTCAGGCTCGAAGCCCAGCCCTGCTACGTTAGAGGAAGAAACCCATAATATAATATAATATAGTATAATATAGTGTAATATAGTATAATATAGTATAATATAGTATAATATAATATAATAAAGAATAACATAGTGTAATATAGTATAATATAGTATAATATAGTATAGTATAATATAGTATAGTATAGTATAATATAATATAATATAGTATAATATAATATAATAAAGAATAACATAGTGTAATATAGTATAATATAGTANNAATATAATATAATATAATATAACCGAAATGCAGGGCGAGGATGGACCTTCTGGAGACGAGCAGGACGCGATCGGCCTGGACGATCTCGGAAGCGAAGCAGAAAAGGGCTTCTTCTTGCCCATGTAAGCTGCTGAGGGATTAAGGGTTTGGGGTTGAAGGTGTCATATCGTTGATAAAGGGTTTAGGGTTTAGGGTTTAGGGTTGAGGGATTGAGGGTTTGGGGCTTAAGGTGTCAAACCGCTGTTAAAGGGTGTAAGTCTTGATTTGGCGCTTAGGGTGTTCTCTTGGAGCTTGGAGTTTAAAGCACCCTTGACCCCCACACCTCGGGAGCCGCATCCCAGCCTGCCGAAAGCATCAGCGATAAGATTCTTTTAGTAGTGAATGTTGCCTCAATCTTAGCCAAGAATGTTGTTTTAGTCCCCAAGCCGTACATTGCGCCCATGAAGAATAGCAGTCTTGCTTTGAAGTACGGGGGTCTTGTAGAATGGTTTGCTTCGTATAAACTTATAGACTTGTGTCAGCGTGCACTACAGACCCCCGAAGCTTGTTCTGATTTTAAGGTCCCTACCGTGGGAGTAACCCTTGACGCCCCAAGTTTCAGACTATTGATAGCTGGCTTCGCACTGCCCCAGTGTATAGTTATAGTCGTGTTCTGCAAGTAGCTCTTACTGCACCGCTCAGGTCTCTATGCATGCTCGTACCCCTGGTTACAACTAAACTACTTCCCATTCCATTCACTGATATCTAGGGCGACTATTTTCATGTTCTGTCTAGCTGCAAAGCACTGCTCAAATCATTTCAGCGGGCATTGTTGTCACGTGCATCGATCGGTATCCGCATTAGCGTCTTCAGAATTCGTAGTGTTGGCTTTGGTTTCAGCATGTCCGACTGCCTTTCGCTGGCCCACTATGCCGTCAGCTTGGCCGCCACTTGGCGCTGGAACGGCTCATATTGGCTCGCAGCTTTGTGGGACGGCGCCCCTTCTCCGTTGCATACACCCAGGCTGGAAACTGCCCCGAAGCCTTAAACATAGATCCAGTCGACAAACTCCTGGGCATTCCTGACACTTAGACTCTCTGTCCAAATTGAAGGGAATGGCTCTGCGTTGCAACACAGTCCTGTGAGCACTCTCTTCCGAAAGCAGCAGCAAGCCGCAGCAACAACAGCAGCAGTACGAATGGTGTCAATCCGAACAGCAATGTTCACGACATTGGTAAGCATTATGGACTCCGACATAAGCAGACCAGCTTCCAAAGAACGCAGGGATGATAGCCCCTAAACCCTAGGCCCTAAAC